GGCTTGTCTCCCACTTCTTTTCATTTGTCTCCCAGTTCTTTTCATTTGTTTCCCAGGCTGGGTGCTTGTGGTCGGGTTCCCGGCTGGCTTGTCTCCCACTCCCTTTCATTTGTCTCCCACTTTTTTTCACTTGTCTCCCAGCTCTTTCATTTGTCTGGGTGCTTGTGGTCGGGTTCATTTGTCTCCCACTCCTTTTCATTTGTCTCTCAGGCTGGGTGCTTGTGGCGGGGTTCCCGGCTGGCTTGTCTCCCACTTCTTTTCATTTGTCCCCCAGGGTGCTTGCTTGTGGTCTGCTTGTGGTCGGGTTCCCGGCTGGCTTGTCTCCCACTTCCTTTCATTCTCGGTGCTTGTGCTCGGGTTCCCGGCCCGCTTGTCTCCCACTTCCTTGAATGTGTCTCCCACTTCTTTTCATTTGTTTCCCAGGCTGGGTGCTTGTGGTCCGATTCCCGGCTGGCTTGTCTCCCACTTCCTTGCATTTGTTTCCCATTTCCTTTTATTTGTCTCCCGCGTCTTTTGTCTCCCATGTCTGTCACTGCTAATTTCTGCCCTTTTCCGCTGGCCATGCAGCATTTCTATTCATGTCCCAGGTCTGTCACTGCTGGTGTCCGCCCTTGTCCGTTGGCCATGCAGCATTTCTATTCTTTTGTCTTGCAGGTCTGTCACTGGTGTGTCCTTGTGTATTGGCCATGAAGCATTTCTATTCATTTGTCTGCCAGGTCCGTCACTGCTGGTGCCATGTAGCATTCATTTGTTTCCCAGGTCCGTTACTGCTGCTGTCCGCCCTTTTCCGTTGGCCATGTAGCATTTCCATTCATTGGTCTCCCAGGTCTGTCACTGCTGGTGTCCGCCCTTTTTCCGCTGGCGATGCAACATTTCTATTCATTTGTTTTCCAGGTCTGTCACTGCGTCCGCCCTTTTCCGCTGGCCATGCAGCATTTCTATTCATTTGTTTCCCGGGTCTGTCACTGGTGCTGCCGCCCTTTTCCGCTGGCCATGTAGCATTTCTATTCATTTATCTCCCATGTGACTTCTTTCTTTTTGTCTTTCAGGTTTGGTGCCTGCGCTGCTGTTTTCTGCCCTGTCCGCTGGAACAGGTTCGCGTGTGAGAGGTTCTTGCTCCTTTGAAAGGGGTGAGTGACTGTCTCCGGGATTGCATTGCTGCCACACTGTGTAACTCTCTCAGCTTTGTTGTCCTTTTCGGGCAAGCGGTGGATGAATGACCGGATTGGATTTCGGCGGCGTGGCAGCGATCTCTCTGTTCAGTTGGGACGGAGGGCATACGTCAGGCACCAAAAGTCAATTTCATGTCACATCCTTCGCTCCTCATGTTTTTTTTCTTGTCCTCACGTGGTCAGCTGCCCGCTGATTGAGCAGCATGACCAGCATCATGTTCGCACTTGAAGAATAACTCCCGAAAAGGTTTACTGTTAGGGCTTCCCAATTCTTTCTTAAGATGTGTCCGCCCGCTCTGTACTGCTGTGTCCGTCTCTGCCTTGCAATCCTTTACATTTGTCTCCCAGCTCTGGACGTCGCAAGCTCTAGTTTAACTGTTTGGGGTCGACGGCGGTGTAATTTTTAATGTACTTTTTGTCAACACTAATTATTTGGAAATGAATGCCCCAGTATATATATATATTTATTTATTTATATATTTTTTCACATATAATTTTGTAGACGAATTGAGCAACGTCATAAACCGCTATGAAAGAATTTAGGTAGGACTTAAGATTATGAATCTTTGCGAAAGGAAAACTGCAGTTGGGGAAAGCTTGGCGAATGGTTTGGAGAAAGGCTCTGATTTTTTGATGAAAGGATTTTATTGCGAAAGGGTTGGCGAGAGAGGTTTTCAGTACAAAGCATGTCATCCAAAGACTCCTGATAACCAGGCGAAAGGTTGGTGAAAGGTTCGCGAAGATGTGGCGAAAGCAGTGGTTGCAGATTAGGAATGATTCCCCTTTCTGATATTTTAGATGCAAGTAGTAGCAGAAACTCGGCGAAAGGGTTAGCGAGAGAGGTTGTTGGGTGAAGTGGGTCGGCGAGAGCAAAACATGCAGCCGCGAAAGCATTGCGAAGGGATTGGCGAAAGGTTCTTATAATCTTAATAAAAGTTCCGGATGGTTTTTGACACCGCTCAATTGCTTCCGGAAGGGTTGAAGGAACGAACATTTTGGACTAGCAGACCCTCAGCGGCCCGATGTCTCCGTCCTCCTCGGGTCCGGGACCCATGTCACGCCGGTCCAAGGATGCCAGTTCCAGAGAGGACCAATGTGGTGAAGAGCACCCTGTTGGGCTCGATTCTCTCAAACCTCTTGTGTCCCGGCGATGTTTTGGGAGGTTTTTAGGGGGTTGCTGGAGGTGATCCGTGCGCCTGCAGGACGGTGGCCACGTGGGCTCCCCTAATATGTGTTTGCGTCGTCACATGCATGCTTCAAGATGCCAGACCAAGCAAGAAGTGCAGCACCTCCATGAAGGAATCACAATATAGATTTATGACCTGTCGCTTCAGCTCAACTTTGCACGACAAGGGGCACCATACTCGGCGGTTGGCGGTTTTGTGAAGGTCCAGGGACTTGAGGGCGTGCGTTTACGCAGTGCGTTTACGCAGTGCGTTTACGCAGCAGCTTCAGACCTGAGCCATCTACTGCGTGGATGGTGCATAAGCCCCAAAGAAGGAATGCATTGGAAATGCAGCTGGGTAAGCCAAGAGCTTTGTCGCTCAAGCACTTGGGAAGACGAGGCGGCCCCAAGGCCCAATGGGCTCATGTGGCTTTCCGTTTCGCATTGTGGGTGTCCTCAAAAAAACCAGCCGCAGGCGGACCGGCCAACTTCTTCAACACCAGGGTGGCATTTGGCCGGTAATGGTGGGAGACATAACATTGCACTAGAGCTCGGGTGGAGGATGGTGGAGGAGCATGTTTGTTCAGAGGTTTCTGGTTTTAAAGTTTAACAACCATTGATGTGATTGACAGTATTTCCTTTTGGCCCGCCAAGGCACCCCCCACCTTCCGCAATCGGCCCAGGCTGGTGCTTGGGATGTCTTTCTGCTTCGGCGGGCTGACGCAGGTGTCTCTCCTTCTGCCAACAAGCCAGATGACAACGGTGACAGGGAGACGGGCCCGTGCTGATGTCAAAGCCGCCTCCAAGTTGAGGAAGTGGATTGGAAGACCCTACCCCACTAATCTTGGTTTTGGTATGTTTTGGGCAGGGGGAGTCCCAAAATATTTCAAGCAAGTGCCAGATGCTCCAAACCCGGCAGCAGCTCCCAACCCTGGTTTCTCTCGGCTGCTTTGTTTTCTTGGTCGCGCCTTGCCGACTTCATGTTGCCGGCGCTGCTGTTTCTTCTTAGGGTGAGTTCGAAACGACGCTCATTGAAACAGAAGGCTAGGGGAATTTGTGAGTTTTCTGTGGTGCTTGGGAGGTCCCACATCCTTCCGACGCTTTCTCCTCACGTGCAGGTGAAGGTGCAAGCTGCGACTGCGATGGTCGGAGGAGCAGCTGGGGCTGCAAAGGGCTGAGGCATGCTGAAACTCTATCAAACAGATTCAAGCAGAAATGCAAGGAGTGTCGGCTTGGAGGCCAAGAGCTACTTTCGGGTCTCAATGGGTCTCAGATTTTCCCCACAAGGAAGCCAAGAGCTGCTTTGAGTATTCTCATGCGCGTGTCAGCATTCTCTCCTCCACTCCTAAGGCCTATTTCTAGAAACTCCATGAAACTCCCACCAGCAAAAGTCCGATTCACCTGACTGGATGATGTAGGAGTCCTGACTGAATGAGAGACTCCATGGGACTGGAATAAAACGTTCCCAAGTTGTGGTTTGGCAACTTGATTTCAGCCACCATTCTTTTTTCGGCTCCGCCCAGAAGTTCTGAGGGTCTCGCCGGTCTCGCCTAAGGGCCCTCCTGAAGTGCGATTCTCGACGAAGCTCATGACAAAGTGTCATCATGTTTCATGACTTTCAGATACTTTCATGATTTCTTTGGGCAGGGGATGTTGTATACTTTCTTGATTTCTTACTTGTATCTAGTGTCAGTGTCATTACTTAAATAATTCCTTTTTCTCACTTGCTATGTTGGTGGGGATGCTCAGAGGGGGTGTCGCTTGGTGACTCTTCATGTCGGTTCGTTGGACGCGTGGCGTGTGAGGCGTTGGTTTTTTTGCCAAAACGAAAAGGGTGGATGAGACGGACATGAAACGCATGGCACACATGACCCGCGTGATGTCTTCTTCCCACGCGCCGCGACCCGAATCCTGGAAAGCGGGTCTCGGACCCGAATCACCGAATCCCTTCCAGACCAGACCGGATCCCACCTCCGTCTTGCAGGGGAACTGCCCACCTCATGTGGATTTCGAACCAAGACCAGCAAGACATCAGGAAATTCAAGAAATGTTGACAGAAATTCGAGATCGTTCAAGGGGCCACTGAGGAAAAGGAGCAGAAGTTTGCCATGAAGGGTGTCACTATGCAAATGGGGCTGTTGGTATTTTGCCGCCAGGATGCAACGAAGGGACCGGTGCCAATTTCAGTGGCATTTGGCCGTAGGGAGCGTGTGTAGCAGCATTTCCTTCGAAACCTGAAAAGATCACCACCGGCAAAAGTTATAACTACACATATTACTATATATATATATATCGATTCGCATCAGTTCTTTACTCACCCACCAGGCATTTGAACTTTAGTATTTTAGTTTCTGCCGCGATGGCGCGTCCTTCGATTCAAAGAACACCAACCTCAGGCTGCATGTCCTTCGCGCTGCCCACGTTGTTTGCACAAGGAGAGGAAATCAGCTGGGGCCGAGGTTGCTCACGTCCGTCGTGGAAAGCAAGGACTGTTTCTCGTAGTCATAGTCATAGCTGGGGTATTGATACCCAAGGTGGGCACTATTTGGGGTCCTAGTTGTTCACACAGACCTTCAGAAGGCACCGACCTTCGTTCGACATGTACGGGAGGAGCTCTTGGAAGCCTACCAGAACCCCATCCAACCACATGTGGCTTCTTGAAAACACTGGACCGACCTTGGGTGCCTGGAGCTCGGACCATCCCCCCCGTCCGCCCCCGATGCGACTGGAGACGGCGACAGCGAGGATACGAGGATGACTGACAGGACTTGCTGGACGTGTCCCGCTGGGGCGGGCTGTCGCTCAGTGGCAAGAAGGATGGGAAGTTCTTTTTTTAAAATATCTTTTCCATGAGGGGCCCGCGAACACCTCACATTGAACCGGTCGATTTTTGGAAACGACACATGTTGTTCTCGCGCTGGGTTTTCTGCGGGCCGGAGATGGAGAAGGCTTCGGAGATGGAATGTTCCTGTCTCAACATACCGAATCATTCACCTGTTGATTCTGGGTTCTATTGCCTGACCATGAGCGCCACTGCAGTACTGAGACGTACTGAGCTGATTCCTTTTCAACATGCTATCTAAAACTCGCATTGGCTTCTTTTGATGGTTTCGTTTCCTCATGTGTAGATATAGTTTAGCATATCATAACGTATCAATTCCCTAACCAAACCCGCCCGAAATCGTGCATGTCACCCTTCAGTACTCCCTATATATACCCACGGGTTTCCATCGCTCAAATCCACACATGAAGATCCATCGATCGTCGATTTGGGCTTTCCCAGGCCCGGTCACCGGGGTTCCAGGGGCCAGGCCCGGTTTGGCACCCCTCCAGAGAGGCCATGAGGCCGCATGGTTGAATGGGCTGAGGCTGTTGGGTTCGGCCTATTTGGCTTTCCTCTTCTTCCAGCTGGTGTCGCACAAGAAGACCCTAGAGAATGAGGAGGGTGAATTGACGCTTGGCCGGGCTTCAGACGCGCACTGGTGGCTCCAGTTCGGGGCTGAAGCGACGCGCATCTCGTGTGTCTGCTGGTCCAAGACGAAGGCATCTCGTAGTGATACTGACATCGGGAAATTCGTCCCCCACGCCATGCACGACCTCCGGTGGCGCGCTTTGGTGGTGCAGCTGAATCGCCTTGCCAGACGATGAGAAACGCGCGAGACCCGGCTTTGTGCTGTTCTCAGGAAGGATCAAGAGAACGAAGATGAAGAGGACGGTGCCCACCTTGGGGTGTGCCCAAGCCGTTGATCCGGTTTGGTACTGTACTTAGTACTTGCTTGTTGCAACCACCCCATCTAACGCTCCCAGTTCGTGCTTGTTCGTGTCATCTGTGTGAGTGCCTAATTATGGCCGGGTCGGGTGATTCGAGCAGTGGCACTGTGTCCCACCTACGCGCCCCTTTTTGAGGAACGGTCCCTTCCGACCCCCCCGGTCCCGCCGCGACCCCCACCGGGCGACGGCCGCAGGATCGGCCGCCCTTGGCGATTTGGGTCTCCTTGACGATGATGATCGTCATTACGGCCGGGGCGGAGCGGAGCGAGTGGGGGGGGGGGTTCGAAGGAGGAGTTTCTATTGGTGCGGGGCGGAAATGGAGCTCACAGCATTTCGGCCACCTTTCGGCCACAGATAAGTGATAAAACAACTGTGTTTTGTTTGATTATTTTAACATGCGCCCCAGGATCTCAGATCAGGTAAAAGAGAAGGGTTGCCTGCAGGAACTTGCTGGGAAGGCCTCCCTGAGTCCTCCTCCTCCCCTCCATTTTTGTAGGGCATCACCGACCTGATCTCCGACTACCTTTGTGAGTCCATCAACGGGGTCACCGAGAACATCAACGTGGACTTCCTGGGCACCATCGTGCCTCCGGCCACGAATCAGCGCCGGCAACGCTCCCACCCACCGCACCCGTGGCCAGCGTGGCTCCGGTGTGTTCGACGCTCCGCTGGCGCCTTTTGGCCAGCGTGGCCTCTTCCAGTGCAGGAAGATCTCTCATCTGCTTTGGAGAGCAGTGTGGGCCAGTATGGGTGTGTACTTTAATATGGGGACACCCAACCAATGGGTACGGTTGTAGTATGTTGTATGTTGTGGCTTATTTCCCTTCTTCCCAGAGGATCGTTGGGAGGTCTCCCTATTTTCATGCACACCTGTATCCGCGACGGATTTTGGTCCAAATCATGACGAAAGATGGAACAACCAGAAACCTGGAATCTTCTCAAGAACCTCATTTCTTAACGAACATCCCTCTTGAAACCACCAGAGCCGGCCTCGCCCAGTTGCTGCCCATCGCCGGCAACGCCTGTGAGCACCTGGGTGCCGTGCGCTTTGCTATGGACGACAAGCCTGGCTTGGCGGCCCCTTGGCACGATAGCCTGAAGAGTGGGGGGAGGCTTTCTTCCGCTGAAGTTGAGATAGGACCTCTTAAAACGGACGTAAGGTGGTTTGGTGGACAGAATTAGAGACACCTGCCTCTTTTTGGGTTAAGGGATGTGCACATTCCATCTAGTTTCACAAAGCGTTTCCGTTTGGAGGGTGCCGCTGATGAGTTCATAAGGGCGCTTGGTGGTAGGTACATGAGCAAGTCCCGCGAAGCTTGAAGCCGGGGGCCCAGCTCGGGCAAAAAACACAGGATGAGGGTTTACGGGTGTATATAAACACGTGCAATGCCAGTGGTAGCGTCTACATGAACCCACCCTTTTTGGATGAAACGGCCGGCCGAGGTCGGCATTGCCATCGGCTCATCGCGCCTTGGTGATCGAATGCCCGACCAATGGCCTGCCTGATGGGTTCCCTTGGACCCCATCTGGGTTACATATTGTATTACAGTGGTTTGAGAGGGTAGATGACCACTGAGACCACTGAGTAGACCACCAAGTGGGTTCCATATTAGATGACAATGAGTAGATGACAATGAGTAGATGGCACAAACTGCAAGATGTCCTTTAGATGATCCATATCAACCACCTAACTTGGGGGGCCCTTGTGCCATCTACTCTCAATCCACTGTATGGACCTTGGGGATGGAAAGTGTGGAGAATGATGCAATTAAGCCCATCATGGAGTGAACCGCGGATGGAGTGTCCCCGACCATTGCACTGTGGCGCGACCGCTGGGAACCTGCTGGGAGGTGATGTTCATTGAAAGCGGTTGAAAGCGGAGCAGATGGCATCAAACCCCCAATATCTCTTTTAGATCCTATACCAGCACCTCCAACAGGTCACCAATGGTTCAACCTGCAACAGGGCCTAACACCCAAGCCTCCATTTCGCCTGTAGAGTCAGGTGATCCGATGCACTGCGGTGCGGTGCCCCGCGGGGCCCAGGACTCAGGTGGCACTCTTTGTGGTGCCCTTTGCAGTGATCGTGGGTTGGATGCGGCTTGACCTGGAGCGGGGGGATCAAACGGAAAGCCAGCATCGAATACCTGGAGGGTACTGAGCATGGTGCATTGGTAGAAAGAGGGTCATAGGACCGGACTAATGAAGTTATCTTTTGACATGCATGAGTGATCCATGCTAATCATGAAATGAACGATAACCTGGTTGGTTTGTAAGAGTGTTCCACTTCATTGGTTATACATTTTTCTCATCCACATCGTCTAGCAGCACTTTGCAGGGGTGGTTCATGGACACCCCTTAGATCCCTTGGGGGGCTATGAATCGACACCCCTTGGATCCCTTGGATCCCCTGGTCGCGTCCGCGCCACGAGCCGAGCAGAGGTGGGACGTCCCGATGACGTTGGACTTCGGCCCGGTGAACACGGCCGCCTGGAGAAGCCGGCAGTGTCACAGAGCAAAAGCAAGAAGTTGGACCGGGTGCGAAAAGAGACAGTTCTTGGAACGTTTTTGTATTTCATGGTATAATATATCATATTGTAGATCTAGAAAGTTCTTTCCACATCAACCATCACCTTTGTCACCAAAACGCCAACCATTCCCATCCAGGACACCTCTTGAAGGAAACCATCGAAAACCCTTCATTTGCAGTCCTCACAGAACCTCACACCATGCCCTCTTCGTGGGTGGTAGGGGTCGATTATCTCAATCAGTTTGGGCCGGTCGTCGTGCGGAATTCCAGCCGACAAGGGTCACACCATTTCGGGTCCATCTTTCACCTTCATGGTTGGAGGGTTTGTCAAGTGTTCCCAGAAGTTCAATCTAATTCAAGCAGACCCGGACGTTCTGACAGATGGTCCTCGCTAGGAGGGTGGGATGGTGGGGGATGAATCGATGTCAGCCGAGACCACAGCCTAAGGCCGTGATTTTCTTCTCCGTTCTACTGGCCACCGTCCTCATGTCGGATGGCCGATCCCATTGGTTGAAAGGCCACCCGTGCACGAGTCGTCCCGTCGCGTTCCGTGTGAGTCCGACGAGTCGTCCAGCCGGGCGGGGCTCGGTCCTCTTCTTGGTCCGATCAAAGACACTTATGTAGTATGTAACTGGGATGTTTGGATTTGACCCCCGCCCCCCACCCCCCCCAAGATGGTAGGGATATTTAACTTATTAATGCGTGCCAAAAAACGCAAGACAGGGCGAGATTTCTGAGATTCGAATCTTCCATCGGGAGAGTCCAGTCCACGTATATATATATATAATTATATATATATACAGATAGAATCATGCAGATATGTCATGTAGAGTGTCCTGTAGGCATTCAATTAATCATTGAACTTTTTCAAACGTGCAACCTGCCCAGTCTTGTTCAGCTTGATATTATATAATACTTTTAAGGCTCACCTTCTAAATAACTGCTGGACATATTCAACAGGCTTTGGGCGATGCTTGACTTGGCAGCCCACTGAAAACCTGCCATTCGCACCGGCACCCATGACAAGGCTTTTCACGGGTGCCGCGGGTTGTGGCCAAATGCTGCCCCTCAAGTGTCGCAGCCCTGACTCCGGCAATGTGCCGAGAAATCCTCAGGTTACCTTCTGATGCTGGCATACGTTTTCATCGCGGTATCTTCGGCGGAATTTTCAGCGTCCAACTCCGACCTGAAAATGCCACGAAGATGCTGAACACCAAGGTCTTGTTTTGGAACTTGCCGCCCAAGATGGATTGATCCTGAGCCGCCTGATGCGCGGTGACATCCTCGCGTGCCCACGCATGCGAGCCCGAAAGCTTGGTGCGAGCACGGAAGCATCGATTAACGTCGGATGCTGGCACTGAGGCCAGCCGTACACTACTGTGGAAGAAAGAAATCCTGAACCGGCTAAAGTGGAGAATGCCCCGCATATTTGCAGTGCTTAGGGTTCCAGGCTGTGCAGGATTTCTTCCGACTAGCCTGCATCCTGCAAGCTGTCTGCAAGAACTCGAAACGGGAGACGCATCAAAAAAGAAATATAAATGCATCAAGAAAAAAATATAAATGCATCAATAAAAAAATAAAGAAAAGAAACAAAGAAAGGCAAGAAGGCAAGGAAGGAAGGAAGGAAGGAAGGAAGGAAGGAAGGAAGGAAGGAAGGAAGGACGGAAGGAAGAAAGGAAGGAAGGAAGGAAGGAAGGAAGGTACGAAGCCAGGACGGAAGGAAGGAAGGAAGCAAGGAAGCAAGGAAGGATGGATGGAAGGAAGAAAGGCAGCAAGGCAGGAAGGAAGGTTCGCTTTCGGTGGCTCTTGGGTTTTGGTGGCTTTTGCCTTTGGTTTTCGATGGCTTTTGTAGGTGGCCCGCTTGCGGAGCTGTGCTGCCTGCAATGGCAAGTGTTGTCATGTATTCTATGTTAATGCATTGTTTGATGCATCTATGTATTCTATGTTAATGCATTTTTTGATGCATCGCCCAAAAAACACACACACAACAACAAGGACCACTTTTGAACTCCTGTTCTATCCCCCATTTGGCCAGCTACTCAGCGAGCCAGCTTACGGACCTGTGCTGCCTGCAGTGGCCAGGAAAGCTGCAAGTTGACTCACCCTTTGTTGCGCCACCCGAGGGTAAAATTTGGAGAAGAATGTTGCCATTTCAACTTGACTCACCCTTTTGCGCACAGGGTAAAATTATGAGAAGGAAGTGGTCACTCCAACTTGACTCATCCTTTTGTGGCCAATGCGGGGTAAAATTTAGCGAGGGAAGCGGCCATGCCGAGTTGACCCACCCTTTTGTGGGCCACGCAGGGGTAAAATTGAGAGAAGGATGTTGCCATTTCAACTTGACTCACCCTTTTGTGGGCCATGCGGGGGTAAAATTTAGAGAGGGATGTTGCCCTTCCAAGTTGACTCACCCTTTGGTGAGCCACCCGAGGGTAAAATTGTGAAAAGAAGTTGCCATTTCAACTTGACTCACCCTTTTGTGGGCAGGGTAAAGTTTAGAAAAGGAAGTGGTCATTCCAAGTTGACTCACCCTTTGGTGAGCCACTGGAGGGTAAAATTTAGAGAGGGAAGTGGCCATGCCAAGTTGACTCACCCTTTTGTGGGCCATGCAGGGGCAAAATTTAGAGAAAGATGTTGCCACTTCAACTTGACTCACCCTTTTGTGGGCCATGCAGGGGGATCAATTTAGAGAAGAATGTTGCCCTTCCAAGTTGACTCACCCTTTGGTGAGCCACCCGAGGGTAGAGTTTAGAGAAGGATGTTGCCATTTCAACTTGACTCACCCTTTTGTGGGCAACGCAGGGGTAAATTTTAGAGAAGGAAGTGCTCATTCCAAGTTGACTCACCCCTTGGTGAGCCACTGGAGGGAAAAAATAGAGAAGGAAGTGGCCATTCCAAGTTGACTACACTTTTAAGTGAGCAATGCAGGGGTGAAATTTGGAATACGCAGCAACATTCGGGAAAGGGCCTGTGTGCGCACTTGATTCCCCCCGATGGGGTGTGTGCACGCTGAGTCAACAAGTGTGTGCGCAGATGAGGCACAAGTGCTGATAAAATATGCGGCGCCGCCCTTCTGTGAGCCACCCGAAGGTACAGTAGTAAAGTTTAGAGCGCAGAAAGCCATTCCATTCTAGCACGCCAGTAAAATTTTGAAGAGGTGAGGCGACCGTAAGGCCCCGGGTCCTTTGGTCCTCTGTTCCCCTGGCCTCTGGATCTGAACCTCTGCAAGATTTAGTGGGTCTCTAGACTCTACACCTCTACACTCCAGATCTGTCTGGATGTCGAGGCCTTTGGATGTCCAGCTTACGGAGCTGTGCTGCCTGCAGTGGCCAGTGTCGTCAGCGCTGTGCTGCTGGAGGTGGCCAGAGTGTTGTGAGCACTGTGCTGCTGCAGGTGGCCAGCTTACGGACCTGTGCTGCCTGCAGTGGCCAGGAAAGCTGCAAGTTGACTCACCCTTTGTTGCACCACCCGAGGCTAAAATTTGGAGAAGGATGTTGCCATTTCAACTTGACTCACCCTTTTGTGCACAGGGTAAAATTTTGAGAAGGAAGTGGTCACTCCAACTTGACTCACCCTTTTGTGGCCAATGCAGGGGTAAAATTTAGAGAGGGAAGCGGCCATGCCGAGTTGACTCACCCTTTTGTGGGCCACGCAGGGGTAAAATTTAGAGAAGGATGTTGCCATTTCAACTTGACTCACCCTTTTGTGAGCCACCCGAGGTTAAAAATTAGAGAAGGATGTTGCCATTTCAACTTTTTGTGGGCCATGCAGGGGCAAAATTTAGAGAAGGATGTGGCCCTTCCAAGTTGACTCACCCTTTAGTGAGCCACCCGAGGCTAAAAATTAGAGAAGGATGTTGCCATTTCAACTTGACTCACCCTTTTGTGGCCATGCAGGGGTAAAATTTAGAGAAGGATGTTGCCCTTCCAAGTTGACTCACCCTTTGGTGAGCCACCCGAGGGTAGAATTTAGAAAAGAAGTTGCCATTTCAACTTGACTCACCCTTTTGTGGGCAGGGTAAAATTTAGAAAAGGAAGAGGTCATTCCAAGTTGACTCACCCTTTGGTGAGCCACTGGAGGGTAAAATTTAGAGAGGGAACTGGCCATGCCAAGTTGACTCACCCTTTTGTGGGCCATGCAGGGGTAAAATTTAGAGAAGGATGTTGCCATTTCACCTTGACTCACCCTTTTGTGGGCCACGCAGGGGAAAAATTTAGAGAAGGATGTTGCCCTTCCAAGTTGACTCACCCTTTGGTGAGCCGCCCGAGGGTAAAATTTAGAGAAGGATGTTGCCATTTCAACTTGACTCACCCTTTGTGGGCAATGCAGGGGCAAAATTTAGAGAAGGAAGTGCTCATTCCAAGTTGACTCACCCCTTGGTGAGCCACTGGAGAGTAACAAAAATAGACCAGGAAGTGGCTATTCCAAGTTGACTACCCTTTTAAGTGAGCAACGCAGGGTGAAATTTGGAATACGCAGCAACATTCGGGAAAGGGCCTGTGTGCGCACTTGACTCCCCATGGTGGGGTGTGCGCACGCTGAGTTAACAAGTGTGTGCGCAGATGAGGCACAAGTGCCGATAAATGTGTGTGCGCAGTTGAGTTGAATCCGTGTGCGCGGCTGCGGCGCCGCCCTTCTGTAAGCCACCCGAATGTACAGTAGTAAAGGTTAGAGGGCAGAAAGCCATTCCATTCTAGCACGCCAGTAAAATTTTGGAAGAGCTGGATCTGAACCTCTGCAAGATTTTGTGGGTCTCTAGACTCTACACCTTTACACTAGATCTGTCTGGATGTCGAGGCCTTTGGATCTTTGTAGATGTAGGCGTCCTGTTCTCAACCGTGACCTCTTGAATCTCCAAAACCTGAAACACCTTATCTTTTGAATTCTTGGCAATTTCGAACCGAACACAGAGGGCAGAGGCCGACCGTTGTAGTGGATAGGTTGGTCTCGACCCAAGGGCCCTACAGGACAATCCAAGGTATCCGTGTAGGTTGATTTAGTTTTTGTTTTTTTTGATGCGTTTTTGTTTTTCTTTTGATCACTGCTTCGAGTTGGACTATTGCGCTTCCCTCCACTCGTTTGGGTCCGTTTATTTTTTTATTGACTCATTTTTGTTTTTTTCTTGATACCCTGAATTATATTTGTTTTTTGATGCATTTTATTTTTTTTTGATCCCTTGCCCATCCAAAGCCCCCCGGAACCTCAAAGACCAGGGCTTCCGGGCATCTTCCCTGTTGGTATCCTAATTTGTTTGAAATTGTCGAAGCTCTTGTTGGATCGGAAGCTGTCATCCTAACTCTATGTAGAGAGAACTGCGCGGCTGGATGCAGGATCCAAGAGATGTGGGGCCCTCGCGCCGCGAGGGGTACCCCACGTTGGGCCCTCCGGCTTGAGAGGTAGCTCATTGATGGTGGCTGGGAGGTGAAAAGAAGGGCAGCCTGATCCAAATAGCTGCCCACCGTGATCCAAATAGCTCACCGTGACAAAAATACGATACATCATCCCCAGAATCATCCAGATGAAGACTGGTGGAACAGTCTTCACATGTCTTCACCGAGATCGGCCTGATTGTTCCCTGCAACCGGAGAGGTAGGATGGCTAGTCTCAATCGGGCACTCCGCCAA